TTAGGCCTTTGCAATATTGAGGTATATCTCCTTCTATTAAATGTGGGTCAAAGGAGGCAGGGGCCAAGTGCATTGGATGTCCTGTGACTATCCAGGGGGTGGATCTGAGATTTAGAAGGAACAATGGCAATGTGTCAGGCCAAGGTATTTGGAGGGTTTCTACAATCTTTGCCAGTTGAGGTTTATTAGTGCCGTGTTCAACTGGCCCTGAGGGTGGAGGCACAATTGTGTGGGGCTCAAACTCATGAGCTGTGAGATCATGACCTGAGCTGAAGTTGGACACTTAACCAACTGAGCCACCCAGGGGCCCCTTAATGGTCTTTCTTTTAAGTGACTCATCTAGGGTACAAGTGAGGTGGTTTGCCAACTCAGTTAAATCTGGAGTAGACATAGTTTCCCATTCCATCCTGGTCCTTTTAACTAAAAGAGAAAGATCCTGGCTTAGCCCATTAATAAATTTGAAGGTCTCCCCAAGAGAATCTAACATCTAAAGGAAGACCAGAATTTTCTTTGGAAACAATTTGAAGTTAATTATAACAGTCATGAACAGGTTCATCGGATTTTTGTGTGCAAGCCTGAATTTTGTTCCCATGACAGGTTTAGGAAAAACTATTGCAATTGCTCGGTTGAACTTTTTGGCAAGTGTTCCAGCATTTTGCCATGAGTTAGGGGCTTGTTTTTTAAAATCCTGTTCATGATGTTCCCATCAGGTAAGCTTTATCCAAGGTTTGGCCTGGTCCTCACCAACAAATCTGAGAAACTGGTCTGGTGAATTTGAATAGCTAGTAATTCTTCAACAATCCTGTGAGGGTCTTCAGTCAGTTTCATAGGAAACTCTTTAACTATGGCTCACAATTCAGCCTTCATCCAGGGAACAGAAGACTTTTGGGGGTTATTGAATCCTCAGAAGACTTTCTTTTTATTATTTTTTTTTAAATCCTCAGATGACTTGACTTTAAAGGGGTCATGTGTCTGGAAACAAAGAAAAACAAAGAAAAGGCCTCATAAGCACTTTGTCTTTAATTTTTTGCCTCGGTCTAGAAATTGTATTTTGCAGAGAGGCGATTTTAGATTCCTGATAACATTTGGAAGCTTTAAAACATCAAAAGAGGCATCCCATTCAGTTTTGACAATTTTAGATCCATGGTTGTTCAATTCAGTTTTGAGAAAAGTAAGTTTGAAGATATCGAAAGTTCCCCATAATGAGCATTCATGTTCTAAATTACTTTTGGTTAAGTGATCCATTTATTTAGAAATGCACATGAAAAGGGACTGAAATTTTTAAACATAAAACCAGCTGGTGTGCCAGAAAGGAGGGACACATTCTCAAAGCATTTTGGTTCCTGGGATCTCATTTGATACAGGTTTTTCTAGAGGGGAAAAAAATATATATCCTAAACAGTCTAGTTCCAATGGAAATAGTTTCAAAAAGCAGTCAAACCAAAAGCCAAACAAGTACTCTAAGAAAGGACAAATCCTTAAAACAGATCCTGAATAAAGCCTAGAGAGCTTAAAACACAATAATGAGTGGAGCTTGAAATCCAACAGAGAGTTACCTGCAAGCTCCAGTGTCAGTGAGAAAGCAGTGAGCTCAATGGTCCTGGTAGGTACTAGCACCTGTTTGCTCACCAGCCTCAGAGTTGTTGAGGCGGTGGGGTGGGGTGGGGAGGGGATAGGGTCATCTCTGGATCCCACTTCTGACACCAAGTAATGTCAACCTTGAAATAAAACTATCAGTTATTCTACTAGCAAAAATGAGTTTATTTGGGATACTAGAGAATTACATTTTAGGACAAGCAACCTACAGAAAATACCATAGGCTAGTCCAACAAGCAAAGGAGAGAAATGCTATTTTATGAAGAAGGAGGAAGTTGGGTAGAGTTGTTTTGAACAAAAGTCCAATAGAGAAAAGCATGAGATCAAGGTGATGACAGTTTCTCATTGGCTGAGTTGCTTGGGGTAGTTGACTTCTTGTAGGAGATGCAATGTACATCTCTTCCTGTTGAGGCCTATAATTCATGGTTCTTTCATATTGACAATTCTTCTGTTGGGGTCCATAATTGACAATTCTTCCTGGAATTGGCCTTGAGTGAGATGGCATGAGAGCTCCCCCTTCTGGCCTCCCGACCCATTTTAATGAGGCTTCCCTTTATTAATTTTCACAGTATCAATCTAGGATGGATGGGAGGAGGGCTAGTTGAGGGACAAGCAGGTGACTAAAACTGTAGCAGAAGGGATTCCGGGTGGGGATGGCCATGAAGTTCCAGCATGGGGTGGAGAATGAGATAAATCACAAAACTGCTTAGATTGTGCTCTATTCTATTTTTTTTAAATTTTTATTTGTAATGTTTATTTATTTTTGAGAGCGAGCACGCGAGCTTGAGTGGGGGAGGGGTGCAGAGAGGGGTAGATAAAGAATTCAAAGCAGGCTCCAGGCTCTGAGCTGTCAGCACAGAGCCTGAAGTGGGGCTTGAACCCACGAACCACGAGATCATGACCTGAGCTGAAGTCTGGCACTTAACCGACTGAGCCACCCAGGTGCACTGGTGCTCTATTCTTTATGCATTCTCTTACTTTATTCTTTCAGTGGGGCTCTACAATAGGTTTTATAAATATCCCCATTTTCTGATGAAGAAACTGAGACTTAGATATTAAGTGACCTGTACAACGTGGCAAATGGTGGAGCCAACCCCATTTGAACTTGAATACCACAGCCATGTATGTAACCTCTGGGGCTTCCCCAGAAGTTACTGTTTAAGTCTTGATTTCCCGCCCCTCTCCCTCCTAGAGGACTCAGTGGTTGACTCAAGCCCAGCCATAGCCTCACCCACTCGCCCTTCCTTTGTCTATTTTGTGCCGTATTTGCATGGCAGGTAGTAAAAGAAAACCCCTTTCACTTCCCTTCTGTAGTTTTAAGCCTCA